TCCTTATTAACATCATCCGAATTGGGAGTTCTTTCATATAATAAATCAAATGAGTTATTTTAAGATGGGACATTTTCTTGGTTTGGTAACTTTCCAATTTTAGATAATTTTTAAAAATTTTCTTTCCTTTTTTTAAGATAGTGTGTCAATGTTAATTTTTATGTTGTGCAATCTGCTGTTATCTGTCTGTTTATATAGTAATAAAAGATGTTAATAATATAGTAGCTCAGCCTTAAGGTGCCTAGATTAACAATTCTCTTTTAAAAGAAATTTTGATGATACAGGTGGGAAAAGTATTTTAAAATATACTTCTACCTATTTCCTTTTAATTTTTACATTGAGCAAAATTTAAAAAAAAATGATGAACACTGTGGTAGAAGAGTCTTTTGAGTTTCAGGGCACATATTCCAGAGAAGATAGAACTTTTTTTCCTGTGTTCCAATAAAAGTTTATTTATAGAATCAGGCAAGTGTTTGGATTTGGCCTGCGGACAGTAGTCTACAGACTCTTGCTACGTGCATATATTTTTTTTCTCCTTATAGAAGAGTTTAAATTATAGAAAAAATAAAAGAGAAAGTGTACATAATGACTGGGAATTCTTAACTTGTGTAAAACTTGAAAAAATAAGGGAAATTGCTAATTCAAAAAGATTTTGGGAGTTTCTGATGTAAAATGTAACAAAAGAAATAGCCCTTCCAATCAACAGATACCTGGATACTGTCCTCATTTTCATCTGTAGCTACATTTTACATTTCATTTGAAAGGGAATTGTATCATATCTCTCGGCAGTGTCTCCTTGTTGATTATTGATGGTGGGTATTAATGGCAGAGTATAGTTACCCCTACCCCTTTGGTAAAGAGTACTAACAATGATAATATAAGAAATCTCGTAAATTTGGTATGAAATAGTGGAAAGAATTCTCATAATTTGGACACTCACCTTCTATTTAAAAATATCACTCTTCTGAAGGATTATAACTTTTCTGAACCCTTGAAATGTGATGTTTATTGTTACTTTTATGTACTGTAGTTATCTTCAGGTATAATTCCATGTAAAGGGACATAACAGTATAGATGAAATCTTTTGTGAAATTAATTTTTTGGTGAAGTATATTTGGTACATGGTTAACATTATATAAGCTTGTTATAAAGATATGGGAATACATTTCTTTTCTACTTGATTGCACTGTATATATATGAATACATATGTGTATATTACTAATGCAAGGCCTTAAATATTAAAGTGTATTTCCATTTTTAAAATAGTTTCTTTCCAATAAAGAGTGTAGATATGTAACAAAGTAATCTTATTTTTTATTTTGTTGTCACATTTTTTGCTTCTTAATTCTTTCTAGTTACAATTATATTACCAACCTATGAACTATGGAAGGAATTAATTTAATGGATATAATGAGGATTTTTTAAAATATAGTTTTGGTAACCATCTCGTCTTTCTTGGTATGTTGCCAAAGGAAAAGAGGTAGTTCCTGCTTTCTTAAGTATGAAGGTTTTAGTTGCAATCATTCTTTCTTAATTCTAACCGAACAGAACTTCTCTTTGGAAATTTGAGTCCTTTAGAAAATTGAAGGTGGGAAAGAGAATCTTTTAAGACAGAGACATTTGAAAAACCTCACATAATTAAAAGACCCTTTTATGTAAATTTTTGACTTGACTTTTTAATTCTTATGTAAAAGCTGTTACTTAGACTTGATTTGATATTTTTAGACATTCATCAAATTGTCATTGCATTATTTTAAAATCAGTCCTCTTTAGGAAATAGATGACTAATATTAATGTCATTATCAGGAAATAGCTCAGCATCTGTGTGATATTTTTCAGATATATTGAAATTCTTTTTACAGGTTTGGTTTTCATAGCATGTCTTATGTGTTATGGAGGAAAAGAGTCTCATTATTCTGGCATAATGGAGCTAGCCATGTGATTCTAGAGAAGTAATGTTGAGTGGGAGGAGTTGGCTAGCTAGAAGTAAAACATAGATTCCAAGGAACTAATTTGCTTTCTGAAGTTTTGTTTTGTGTTGATAGGAGGAAAGCAGGCTATAAATGATGAAGCAATGCTGGGAAAAATCATTTTTCTTCATTACTAATCTTATTATAATAGAAATTATTTTAAATGCTCCTCGCCCTTAAAATAGCTTCATGCTTGGAAATAACAGAAATTGTGTCTAATGATATGTTTTGGGATATTTGTGCTTTGCTTTTGTTTTAGTTTTTAGTAAGAAACTAAGTAATCTTACTAAAAGTAAAAGTCGTAACAGTGCTCTGAGATTCACCATTTTAGGCTTTCATCATGCAAATAGTGTCTTCCATAGGAGACAGTTGACTGATAACATGAGACAAAAAATTTTTTATCAACTACTGATTGATCGCATATGGTTCTTGATGCTACAAAAATATTTGTTACTCTCCATGGCTTTTTCTTCCCATTTGCAAAGTAGAATAGGTAATGTTGTATTATTCCTGGAGGACAGTAGTGACTAAAATCTTATTAGACTATATTACAGGTGGAAATTGAGTTCTAATCTAGCTCTTTTTGATGAAATAAGCACTTACTATTTTTATATTTAAATATAATTTTCAGTTGCTTTCACCAATGTGCATTACTGTCCTAATCTTTTAAAGGGATAGATTACTCATTTACCTTGCATATGATTGCAGAGTCAGATTTCCTATTCCCTTCTATCTATTAAAGATTAGAGAGAAACATTCAAACGTTTGAAAGTTTCCTTCTGTTTAGGTCAAAGGTGGAGGTGATGACTGTGTGTATGGTTTTTGTTTATTCATTTGAGGAGCACTTCCCAGTTCATTCTCTTACTGAATAAGAACATTATACTTATCTATTTTTATGAAAAGTTTGCTGAAGATTGGCAGCACTTTTCTTGTGTATTGTCGATGACAAGGATATATGAAACAACAATGAGTTTTCAAGTCCCTCTTTAATCTGGTTTTGGTTTACCTTCTTTTTATTTCTATTCATTTACTCATGTATTACATCTAGTATTTATCTATCTTGACTGTAAGATATAAGAGACCAAATTCATCAGTGTTACGTCTTATGTGTTCTTTTTTTCCTCTCTCTCTTTACATAATGACTTCCATGGAACTCCAGTTGCTGTTGTAGATAATACTACGTAGCTGAACATTAATCTATCTCAGCCTTTCCTAGAGTTATTCATCTGAACCAAAGAAGATGAAAAATTATTTGAGTAACTTTTCTCAATGATGTATAAGTAGTACCATTCTAGTTGCACTGTTAATTTCATTACATACAAAGAATGCCTTAGAGTAGTGGTTCCTTTTGTGCTCTTGTGCTCAGACCCTTTTTGAGGTCTGAAATGTCAAAATTATTTTTTTTAACAAGTTTAAGATATTATTTGCTTTTTTGCTCCCATTAAAAAAAAATGTACAGTAGCGTTTTCCAGAGGCTGCATGGTGTGTGATATTAGATATTGAGTGCAGAAACAGGTATGAGAATCTAGTTATTTTCTGTTGAACACAACATTAAAGATATTTGCACAGATGCAAAATAATGCTATTGCCACTTTTTGTTTTGGAAAATATAGTTTTAATAAAAATATTTATACTAACATGTGATGGGTTTATTCTGTTTAAAATTAATCAGTATGGCATTCCTCACTTTGCAAAGTTCCAATATGCACTAATTTTAGTTACCACAATGTAGTTAATACTGGTCCCACAACAACACAGTTATAATTTGACTATGACTGTATTCTGTGAGTAACTGCATGAACTAAAACTTTGCTGCTAGCTCTTTAGTCCATGGACCACTGTGTAAATAACAGATGCACATCATGATTAGTGACCAGTCATACCACTTCTTTCAAAGTCTGTCTAGCATTGGTCACTATGCGTCTGTTACACAGAAATCAAAACCTGTAGTCGTGTTGCTTCCTTGTCTCTGAGTTGTAAACCGACGTGTTGTTTTACAAAAATGCATGATTGAAAGAGTAAATTGGCCAACAGAGACAAAACTGTGGCAAAGAAACAGAAAGTGGTAATGCTGAAAGTGAAATTGGAATGAAACAAAAGTGGAATCCTAGAAGAAATAGTTGATTGTGGAGATGTTGACACTGGTGCTGTTCAAGAGAGTTGAGATATTCTGCCAGAAGAACTTACTGAAGGTGAACATATTGATATAAATGACCAAAGTGGTTGTGACAGAAAGGATGAAGGTGTCCCAGAGGAAGTGATGCTGGCAAATCACTTCACGTTCTAGAGCCTGTCAGAGATTTTCACCACTTTGAAAGGGCACAGGATAAAATGTTGGAGATGGATCCAAATTTAGAATATGACAATTTGCCAAGGCATAGAAAACTTGCTCATGCATTTTTGTCTTATATAATGAGAAAAGAAAGCAAGCACTGTTTAAACCACTCTTGACAGGTTTTTTTTACAAAGACACTGTAATTCTCAGTATTGCTAATGTTTTAAATTACAGTGTTGCTAAATAAGTATGTTTGATTTTTTTTCCATTTTCTTATGAATTATAACTGGCAGAGTTTTTAATGTTTTGACAAAAATTTGTAAATGGCACAAAATAGTTGTAATTCTTTCCATTGATTGTTAAGATCACTCTGCATGGTTTCAGCTTGCATGGTCATTTTTATGGTCCCGCTTGACTGTGCAAAGGGAGGACTGTCTCTATTTTAAACATGTCTCAGTTCTAATATAGTAAGTATTGATAGATATCACTCGTCTAAACAAATCTCTTTATATTTCTCTTTATACTTGTCTCCTGTATCTTTGGCCCTGATTGAATAATCATTGCCAGTAAGCCTAAAACCTAAGGAACAGTTTGTGCTCCTTTATCTCCCTCATAGTTTACATTTCTAATTATTTAACAGCCACATCGTTACCCCTTCTCTTCATACCTTTGTGATTCTGTCTTTACTCAGGCACTCATCTATTGGCCTTGCGGGCTGTGAGTATAAAGGGGTGGCCTGACTATAGAGGGACAGCATGAGGGAGTTGCTGGGGGCAGCAGCACTGTTCTATATCCTGATTTTGACCCCGGTTACACGAGTGTATACATGTTAAAAGTCATAAACTAATGAACTTATTTACAGAACAGAAAGATACAGACATAGAAAACAAACTCACGGTTGCCAAAGGGAAGTGGAGAGGGATAAATTAAGAGTTTGGGACTAGCGGCTAGAAAGTACTATATATAAAATAGGGAAACAACAAAATCTTCATGTATAGTACATAGAGCTACATTCAGTATCTTGTTACAACCTTCAATGAAAAAGAGTATGAAAAAGAATATATATCTGTATAACTGAATCACTATGCTGTACACCAGAAACTAACACAACATTGTAAGTCAACTAGACTGCAATTTGAAAAAATGACAAACTTTTTTTGTCTTGCTGTGACATTAGCCTTGAAATCTTTCTTTGCCACTCCCACCAAATCGGTCTTACAAATAAATCAACAAGTACTTACAGAGTCCATTGTTCATGGCATTGCCCTGTGTGCAGAGGAAAATGTAAACATTCAGAAGATATGTTCCTGCCCTGGAGGAATTTATATTCTAATAAGATAGAGATAGACAATACAAATAGTAACAGTAAGATAAGTTGTAATCATCCTTAAGGGAGATACAAACGAAGTACTAGTTTGTGCTAGGAACATGTAGGAGGATAGTCCTTCACTGAAGACATAGCATTTGAGCTGAGTTTTGGAAAACGCAGATTTTTGGCAGTCAGAAATAAGGACAAAGGACATTCATAAGAGAGAAAATATCGCACACTTTACAGAATTGTAACTCTTCCTGTTTTAGCTCATGAGAACTTTGAATCCACACTTAATGAATACTCACATCCTATTTTATTCAATTTTGTGCTCCAAAATTCTTAAAAGCATTTTGGTGCGATGTTCAAATCTCATTCTAGTAGTATTATGGCTTTGTACTTAATAATTTAGGTCATTTTTTGATTCTGCTTTTAATGGCTCTGTGGACAGTAAACCAGTCCTAAGACTTAATGTAGTCAACAGATATTAATATGTAAGTGAAAAGCCTGATATTTCTTTAAAATTTTCTATTTACAGACTGAATTTGAGTAAATGGAGTTTTCAGAATATATAATCTTATAAAGTATGTCTGTAACACCTCCCCAAATTGCTTTCTTCCAGTTTTTCCAATTTTAGGTGAGTGAATCAAGTCTTTTTAAAAACAGTAATCTTTTTTTTCCCATAGGTTTTCTGTGAAGACCCTGATTGATCGGTCCTGCTTTGAGACCATTGATGATTCTTCTCCTGAATTTAACAATTTTGCAGCTATTTTGGAGCAGATTCTAAGTCACCGGCTAAAAGGTAACAATGCTAATATATTATTTATTCTCCCAACATCTCTCTTATTAACAAGCTTGAAATTTTAAAAACCATACAATCTGGTACATACATACAGCAGCCACGCAGCATCTTGAGAAACATAAAACTGATTTTAGAATGCCTAATCTTTTGACTTTTGTCCCTGGTAAAGAATCTCTATTCTTGATTTATACCCGTTTCCAGGATGCATT